AAGTTTGCATTCAGGTGTGCAAGTAACAAGTTTGCATTCAGGTGTGCAAGTAACAAGTTTGTATTCATGTATGCAAGTAACAAGTTTGCATTCAGGTGTGCAAGTAACAAGTTTGCATTCAGGTGTGCAAGTAACAAGTTTGCATTCCAGTATGCAAGTTTATGCATACAGGAATTGATTTGTGATTTATTTTAGTAATTAACTATGTCATAAGTATGCATGGTTATAAGTAAATAAGTGCATAAAATAATAAAAATGTAAAGTGTGGTGTGTTTTGCTACATCACAACACATTTTTTTTTTAAATTCGCCATTACTTATTTTACTCAGAATTGGCTACACATTGGCCCTGTGTTTTGCCCATCACAGGTATCAAAACCCACTTTTCAGTGTTATAAACCTGCAGACTTACCTTTGAGCCACTGGGGAACATTTTGCTTCTTAAGGCAGTATTTAAGAAGCTCTAAAGAAGAAATTTAGGAAAACTGTTTCAAGAAGACTTTTAAGAATACAGCCCTAGTTTTGTACCATTAAGACTATTGCTAAGGAAATAACATATTCCCTTTTATTATCATTATTATTAAGTCACTTAGGTGCCAATTTAATTTTGTAGTTCAGAGGCATATGCATCTTTAGACAGCTAGGGAGGTAGCTGAGAAATGAAGATATTTAGAACTTCAAACATATTATTAATTATATAAAAATGTATTTCAGTCATTTTTTCACCTCTCATGATTGTTCGTGGTGTGAGTGGCCCACTAACCAGGCCTAAGTGTATTGAGTTTCGGCATTTGTTAGTTACATTAAGTGTTGTAAATGTCAACCAAATCCTTGCAGAGTGCCAATTTTGAAAAATAAAATAAAAAGCAAATTCAAGTGCATAGTTTTATAAGATATACCCAGTAGTAGTCTAGTTGGTTTATTAGAAAAATATAGATATGGAGATTTAAGTTATCTGTTAATATTGATTTTAGGCTTTTTGTTAATGATAGAAAAGTAGGACAGTATCCAGCTTCACATTTTATCAGATATAATAATAAGATATATATCAAAGAAAATGTATTTATAAGACTATTTTCCCTACATCAGCATATGGAGAGGTTGACACTGTGACTGTTGAAGTTATCACTCTCAAACAGCATGAGTTTTCTGTTGCAACATCCCAGAATGAGGTGACCCTGAGGCAGTGATATTCTTTAATACACTTTCACATGTATGTGATCAAATTCGGACATTGTTTATTGGAAAGATGTTTTTTGTTCTCAAGAAGATTCCAAAAACTGCCAGAACAACCTTCTGGCTACCAAAATAAGTATTGGAATGGCATTCT